AACAAGAAGCTTTGGCGTTAATGTGCGTGAGTTTTCTCTTCTGCTTCTTTCTGAGCTCGTAATTCTGAACTACTCACGCACATTAAGCACAAATCTCACGCATATTAAGCACAATACTCAGACACATTAAGTACAAAATTCACGCATATTAACATCACGCACAACACTCACGCACATTAATCCACCGCACAACCACACGGGAAGTAACAAATGCACATGATCCCTTCCCTATATATATATGTGTGTGTGTGTGTGTGTGTGTGTGTGTGTGTGTGTGTTTACTTATTTATTAATATTGCACTATTAGTAATTAGTACATTATATAAATTATTTGTTATTGGCTAATAGATTAACAAATTATGTATTTGATTATTTATTATGACTTATTACTTTATTAGTTATTATTGTGTTTAATGAATTACAAATGCATTAATATATGTTTGAATTATCAAAATTCTTTACCAATACACTCATTAACTTTTTCATATTAATTCTTATTTAAATTTAAAACTTTTCAAATTTAGTGAGTCTAGGGCATGGCGAGCGGGGCAGGCGATCTCATTTAGGCCCGCATTTTGGCGGGCTTATTAGCCCGCCACCACCATATGACGGCTTTTGGCGGGCCCCGTCTCCTAGGCCCGTTTTGACAACTCTAAAAATATTACTCCGTAATATTCAATGACTAAATGTGATACAAATTACATAGTCATACATATAATTTGAATATTTTAATATTCAAGGACTGAATTTGATACATGTAGTATAATCAAGGGACCAAAAGTAATATTTTTTATAATAAAACTAATAAGTCGACTTTTTTTACATTTATCATAATGTTTATTATTAAAAAAAAAAAAAAAAAAAAAAAAAAAAAAAAGAAGAAGCCCCCAGCTTTGGTACATGAGTAAAGGTTAGGATAGCTCATTGATCAATAACCGAAAGCTGGGAGGGATGCTTGAATTTGTTGTAATTAGAAATAATAATAATAATAATAATAATAATAATAATAATAATAATAATAATAAAATAAAAATGTTCATGGATTTCCATTTCTTTTTTCAATTCCAAGGATAAAAATTGAGTGGTTCTGAGTTGAGAGACATATCTCATCAGTCAGCCAATATTGGGCTTGAGATATTTCTCTCCACGAGGCCACTTGCCTATAAAAAAGCACTCAGCTACTATACCATTTTTATCAAAGCTCAAAACTTCCTTATTTCTGCTTATCCATCTTCTTCTTCCACTCTCTAATGGTTTGCTTAACCATTAATGCCCATACCAATATGACCACTGACAAACATGCCCTACTCTCTCTAAAATCAAAAATTTCTTTTGATCCTCATAGCATTTTAGCTTACAATTGGTCTGTTAACAGCATAACTCCTTGTAACTGGATTGGAGTCACTTGCAACTCCCGTCACAATAGAGTGTCTGCTTTGGATCTTTCCAATATGGGTCTTGTTGGAGAATTAACTCCAGACTTGGGAAACCTTTCTTTTCTTGTTTCACTTGACTTGAGCCAAAACAATTTTCACAATTCCTTTCCTCGAGAGCTTTCTCAATTGCGACGCCTCAAAATTCTTCAGTGTAGCATCAATTGCGACGCCAATCAACTCTTTGGTACATTGCAATTATTTGGAGGAGGTATACTTATTTGATAACCCTCTAGATGCTATCCTTCCGTCATCAATTGGGAATCTTTCTTCTTCCCTTCAAATTCTGTCTATGTCGGGATGTGGGTTAAAGGGAATCATTCCAAATCAACTCGGAAACTTGAGCAGCTTGATTGGCTTGGATCTGGGTAGTAATAACTTGGTCGGCTTTATTCCACCAACGCTAGGTAAGGTCAGTAAGCTCCAAGGATTATATCTCAGTAATAACAAACTCAGTGGTCCCATTCCTGATAGCCTTTGTGAACTTCATTATGTGTATGAATTACAGCTGAGCAACAATCAGTTGTCTGGCAGTTTGCTGAAATGCTTTGGTAATAGCACTTCCTTCAGAAAAATATATTTAGATTCAAACCGGTTGACTTCTAGAATCCGTTGGACAAGGACCATGGAGCCTCATGCATTTAATGCTCCATTAATGGGTCTGTACTATGTAGCCGTTGAAGGTATGGAGGACTTGATGTCTTTTGTCTTTTAGCTCCAGAGATAGTACAGCTTCATTAAATGCTCTTTGGAGAGCGTGTCCCGTGAGTTGAGGTCCTTATTGTCCTAGGATGTTGTCAAATCAGACAGGTATAACATTCTTCTTGTTGGTAAGAAGAAGAATACTTGTTGGAATAGTCTTGAAAAGAACTGTCTTCTTAATGACAACTCCTTCTTTCGTTGCGTGGAGTCTTCTTTCGTCTTGATCAGCCTATCTTCTATTCATAACTCTTTTCGTGTGTTTGTTCTAGCTTAACACGAATTACATATGAGTTATGGCAACTTTCGTCTAGAACGAAAGTAGCGATACAAGAGAAACGTAAGAGTTAGGGGTCTACTTTCTACATTACATTGGTATCATCAAAATCCTAATACAAGGTTCCTAACACACACACACACAGGCATTATAAAAGCAAAAAAATAAATCAATTGACAATAAATAATATAACATAATAAAAAATAAAAGTTTTATTATGTTATATTATTTAGTTTCAATTGATTTATTTTTTATTTTTATAATGCCTATATATATATATATATATATATATATATATATATATATATATATATATATATATATATATAATATATCAAGATAAAGATTTATGATGATTATTAAGTTCCTAAACCCTTGATATTCTATAACTGTCAAATGCACAAAATGGAGGGAAAAAATTTTCACTTTGATTCTGCTATATTATATATAGATATTATATATAGATATTTGTTCATCATATATACGTGCCTTGTCAAGTTTGCGTCAATCATGATTACATGGACCATCCATGATCCACACAGTCAGTGATGTGAATCATAAATAAAAAGTACATTTTTAATATACTAAAAGTATATTATTTGTGTACGTAAAATACATTATTTGAGTACTGAAAATAGTACATATATATATATATATATATATATATATATATATATATATATATATATATATATATATATATATATACCCCTCTTCGTACACTACATTGGCGTCTTCTTATGCGAGTGATGTCCCCTTAAAGACACGTGACAGAGACCCTTCCTTGACTCCTCGCCTTTTTTCAAAAGGACATTCACCTACATGGTGACATGGCCGACCCGATTTAGCACCCTACTGGCACAAAGCAGCCCGCATTGAGCTTCCCTCCGGGGGCTTAGATTAGTGTTCCTCTATGCTCATAAAGTTTCACCATGTATTTTGAACTCCTTGGTATTCGTTAACAAAACTACTAATTTTTGAGTTGACTTCACTTATTTCGTGTGTTCTTACTTGATCATTTAGCTTCCTCTTAGCTTGCCTCCTCGTCTTGAGCAGGTCTATGCGATAGCGACCCTTGTTAGGGAGAGTCGGGCTCGAGGCCACCCCGGGCGTGGTCCCCTCCAACCAGGGCCACCCCAGCTAAAGTCGCCTTGGGGGCTAGGCTCGAGTCCCCATGTGTCGTCGTTGGCCATACTTGATTGTTCCTAAGAAATATTCTCGTTTTATGGCCCAAGGCCGGGACTTTGGCTCTATCTGGAGATCAGACCTCCCGCCATGGACTAGCCTTTGTATCTGTGGAATAAATAATAACCCTGCTAATTTTTTCATAGTAAATGTATTCTCTTTGCTTCTCTCAGGAGCCATACCAAAGGAAATTGGCAACTTAAGTGCACTTGAGCTGCTAAATTTTGCACACAACAACTTTGGAGGTACGTTCAGTGCTATGTTAGTTGCTAAATAATAAATAATAGTAGTAGCACAACGGGTACAATAATTTTTTTTTTATTAAAATGTTCACGGCTGTAATTTTTGTGTAGTGTATTTTTTGGCATTTCATTCTGATGCATTTTCGAACACTGTATGGTGCATTTATGCATACCTAATGGTGTATGCCGCACTAATCGCACGGGAAGACATGAGCTCACAGGAACCAATATATATATATATATATATATATATATATATATATATATATATATATATATATATATATATTTATTTATTTATTTATTTATTTATTTATTTATTTATTTATTTATGTATAATTGTAGAATTCATATTAATATTATTGAAGTAAGAATTATAGAAATAATAAATTACTTAATATAACTATTGTAATATTTAATTAAAATTTAAATAAATTCAAATTTACCGTTGAAGAATGTAAGAAAAAATATTGTGTATGCATGTGCATGGTAATTGTAATGCAAAAAGATAACTGAAGTTATAACGGTAAGAATAAATATTAACCGGCTAATTTTTCCATAGTAAATGTATTCTCTTTGTTTCTCTCAGGAGCCATACCAAAGGAAATTGGCAACTTAACTGCACTTGAGCTGCTAAATTTTGGACACAACAACTTAGGAGGTACGTTCAGTGCTATGTTAGTTACTAAATAATAAATAATAGTAGTAGCAGAAGGGGTACAATAAATATCCTTTGATTTATAACAAAGTTTCTAACGATAATTCGGAGGTGCACAACAATTTTGCATGCCTTTATTTTCTATAATAAAAAAGTTTAATTAAAACGTAATATATTTTATGAATTTATAGAAAAGTGTTATATTTTAATTAAAAATATTTCATGTCTCACTTGAAATAGTTTCATATAAGACTTACTCATTAAAGAATATGTACTTGCATTGTAATTAACTCTAGACAATAAGATAATTAAAATAGTTCAAATTGATTTAAATAAAAATATATTAAAGTTAAAATATAATATAATATGATAATAATATCCCTATGTTATTTCAAATTTTCATGCACAACTTATTTTCACATATTATAATGTCATTGAAGAACCTAATAGGAAACTAACACCTCATTTACGCACACACTTGTTGCATTATTGTTGCTGGCTGGCAGGTGTAATACCAAAAGAGTTGGGAAAACTTCATATGTTGGAGAAAGTATATTTACACTTCGCTAACTTAAGTGGGTCCATACCCAAAGAAGTCTTCAACATTTCTTCTTTAAAAATAATTTCATGTGGGTTCAATAACCTTGTGGATACACTTCCTTCAAGCATGGGGCATGCTCTATTGAACTTAGAGAAACTCTATCTTCATGAAAATAGGCTCTTTGGAGTGATACCAGACTCTATCTCAAATTGTTCAAAACTTACTCTGTTAGATCTCGGCAAAAATCATTTCAGCGGCACATTCCCTGCTTCTTTTGGTAATCTAGGGCTCCTCAAAGATCTATTTATAAATGGAAACATGATCACAAATGATGTTGCATCTCCAGAGTTAAGTATTATCCACTCTTTGGTTAATTGCAATTACTTGGAGAGAGTACACTTAGATGGTAACCCTCTAGATGCTATCCTTCCGTCATCAATTGGGAATCTTTCTTCTTCCCTTCAAGTTCTGACTGTGTCGGGTTGTGGGTTAAAGGGAATCATACCAAATCAACTAGAAAACTTAAGCAGCTTGGTTACCTTGACTCTGGATAGCAATAATTTGGTTAGATTTATTCCACCAATGCTTGGTAGGGTTAGTAAGCTCCAAGGATTATATCTCAGTAATAACAAACTCAATGGTCCCATTCCTGATAGCCTTTGTGAACTTCACTATCTGTATGAATTATTTTTGAGCAACAATCAGCTATCTGGCAATGTGCTGAAATGCTTTGGTAATAGCACTTCCCTCGGAAAAATATATCTAGATTCAAATCGGTTGACTTCTAGAATGCCTTTAAGTTTGTGCTATCTCAAAGACTTATTAGAGCTTGATTTGAGTTCAAATTTCTTGGATGGATTTATACCAAATGGTATTGAAGGTTTGAAGTCACTTTCACTTCTAAACATGTCCCACAATCAATTCTCGGGAAATATTCCTGTTACTATTGGACAATTGCAAAATTTGATTTCTCTTTCCCTTGAACGGAATAAACTATAGGGATATATTCCAAAGCAAATAAGTCAAATTGTTTCCTTGGAATTCTTAGATTTATCTCTAAACAAACTCTCTGGTTCCATTCTGATATCTTTGGAAAGACTTGCATACCTCAAATACTTCAATGTCTCATTTAATGAATTGAGTGGTGAAATACCATCAACTGGTTGTTTCAAGAACTTCTCAAGTGCATCATTCATGTTCAACAAGGAGTTATGTGGAAATCCTAGGTTTCATGTGCCACCGTGCCATTCTACCCACCATTCTAGGATTAAAATAAGACTTCTTATTGCTCTTGCATCTCTTGGAGCTTCATTGATAATTACTTTTGTAATTATTGCATTTGTCCTTTCAAAGCGTAAAAGGAAACTTCAAGTCCCAAGTATGACGGATATTGGCTTTCCATGGGATAAATTAAGAATTTCTTATGATGAGCTTTCAAGGGCTACTTCTTGCTTTAGCCAAAACAATCTCATTGGTTCAGGAAGTTTTGGCTCTGTGTATAAAGGGACTTTGGATGACGGGATGCTTATAGCAGTGAAGGTATTTAACCAATCAGAAGATGCACTTGAGAGTTTTCATGTTGAGATTGAAGTGCTAAAGAATTTACGCCATCGAAATCTCACTAAGGTGATTACTGGATGTTTTGCCGAAGAATTTAAGGCTTTGGTCCTTGAGTACATGTCAAATGGAAGCCTTGACCAGTGGCTACATTCACAAAGAAACTTATTGGATATGGTTCAAAGGTTGAATATAATGATTGATGTTGCATGTGATTTGGACTATCTTCATAATGGCTACACAATGCCGGTGGTTCATTGTGATTTAAAGCCTGCAAATGTGCTATTAGATGAAGAAGTGGTAGCCCATGTATGTGATTTTAGTGTGACAAAGTTGTTAACTAAGGAGGAGAGCTTCAAGCATACTGAAACTCTAGCAACACTAGGGTATATGGCACCAGGTAAATGCGATTTTAATCTTTCATTTAATTTATTTCTAAAATATTTTAAAATAATCATGGACTAGTCGTCCATTTTCCATTCCAAATCTTATGATGGATTGATGGTAGTTTTGATACTCGCAGAGTATGGATCCACAGGAATGATATCAACACAATGTGACATTTATAGTTTTGGAATTGTGGTAATGGAAACATTTTCAGCAAGAAGGCCCACAGATGAAACATTTGGTGAAGAAATGAGCTTGAAAAGTTGGATAAGTGATTCTTTACCTCATCATCTACTTCAAGTTGTAGATCCCAACTTAATAAAGGCAGATGATGAAGACTTCAATGCGAAATTGCAGTGTATATCGTCCATATTAGAATTGGCATTGCATTGTGCAGATGAATCCCCTGAAAAGCGATTAAATGCAGAAGATGTTGTAGTAAGACTGAATAAAATCAAACTTCAATTTCTAAGAAGTGGTGGGACCTGATAAAATTGGAAGGAAACAGATGCAGTTGTCACCGTTCCAACATTGAAGGTGAAAGGAGTCTCACAAAGGACAACAGGTTTCTTGGAAAATTTGATCAAAGCTCCTAGGTAAGGATAGTATTTATTTTGTTCCCAATATAATTAATAGTGTTGCCATTCCATTCTCTCTCTAAACTAAAATTGTAATGTGCTGGAACAGAGGAACACCTGAAATTGAAGTTACATTTGAGGTTGATGCTAACAGCATCTTGAATGTTCAAGCCGAAGACAAGCTAAGGCCCCTGGGCGATCTGAGAAAATTACAATCACTAACAATAAAGGCCGCTTGAGCCAAGAAGAAATTGAGCGGAAGGTGTTACAATAATATTATTAACATGTTCAGCTTTGAATCACCGGATGAGTTTTCTTCTCTTATTGTTTGTACGTTGGTGGAAAAATGATTCGAGTAGTAAGCTTAAACAATGATAAAATGATGTTTTTGTTTGTTGAATCACCGCATTCCTTTTTTGTTGAATCTAACCTGCATATTTCATTTAATTATTACTGATTTTATGCATTAATTTTGCAATAATGTATCTCTTAACAGGGAGCTTATTTGCCTTTTCAACCGCAAATTAGGGACTGTCAACCCTGAGAGGACCATTTTTTATGTAAAGAGGCTTATTGGAAGAAAGTAATGAATTTCTCTCTCAAGTTTCCTTCAATATGTGTTTGTGTGTGTGTGTGTGTTTTCAAGCAAACTCTAATGGGGATCTTAAATAGGTTTGAAGGCTTATTGGCATCTCTTGTTTCAGGTAAGCATCTCTTACTCTCTTTAAGAAGATAATGAGATTAGGGAATAACTAGTTGAGTTGAATATTTAGTGTATTAATATTGTCTTTGTTTTGGTAATATATTGCTCTTTTGGTTATGCAATAATGGTATTATGAATTATGATAAGCCCTTTTGTCCTTTCAGGAGATAAAATAAAGTTCTCTCTATCAGCATCAAAGTCAAAGGACTCTTTATCAACTAATGCTCCTGGTGTTCCCCTTGATGAAAGAATTTTGGTAGAGGAATTATTTATGTGTTACTGTTGGTCTCTAAAGATAATCATTATGTTATCACATATACCACTTTCTTTTTCAGATAATAAAGGCACTTAATCTTTACAGGAAAAAGACTGGAACAGACAAGCACTTTTGGGTAAAAATTTTGAAAGTGTACAGACAATATAACAATGTTCCCAAATTATCTTTTTTTTTTTTTTTTTTTTTTTTTTTTTTTTTTTTTTTTTTTTTTTTTCTGATTTTGAGATGTTAAATAGGCGACTGTGCTTGTAGAGGCGAGGTATGTCTTCGGACTACAAAATATATTAGATCTGTTCATAGATTAATCTTGGATTCAAAGTGACCCTATATATCTAGAATTAGATGTGAACCATTTCATGATTGTTTGAATTTGTTACTTTCTTTGAAGTATCATAATCTTAAAAAAAGATGTTTCAAGAAACTGTTATAGTCTTGTAGTTTAACTGGGTGCAGGGGACTTAATATGAAAAATGAGGTTTCTAAATTTAAGAAACCCTTTTGGTAGGATGGTATTAGATTGGTAGGATGCAGTTGTGAGCGTTATGTTCCAGGTAAAATTGAGTAATGCTATGGTTGAGAATTTAGTTTAATTGGTCTTACTGTAATGTGGTTCCTGAACGTTAAAGCCGAAGACAAGGCCTCTAGGCGATCTGAGAAGATTAGCATCACTAATGATAAAGGCTGCTTGAGCCAAGAAGAAATTGAGCGGATGGTGAGGGAGGCTGAAGAGTTTGCTGAGGAGGACAAGAAGGTAAAAGAAAGAATTGATGCCCGGAACAGCTTGGAGACGTATGTTTACAACATGAAAAACCAGATGAACGACAAGGACAAGCTAGCAGATAAACTGGAATCCGGTGAGAAGGAGAAGATTGAGACAGCAACAAAAGAGGCCCTTGAATGGTTGGATGACAATCAGAACGCAGAAGCACTAGCCATCAGGGAGGTTCTTAGTTGGGTGAAAAGGCTTAACAGCTAATAACTCCGAAGTCTCCTCCTTTAATTTGCACTTAATTCTTTCAGAAATTAAGGAAATGTTAGATTGTTTTTGCAATGCAGTCATTTTTTTTTTTTTGTTAAATGAACAACGAACCATACTGTCCATTTACTTGTTTGAGAGTCGGTGTCTATGTCTGTTCATAGAGAATGGTTTTCTGTCATTTCGTTTATTTTGAAAACTTTGCACGTGAATTTGAATTAACCGATTTGGTTTTTTTTTTTTTTTACAATTAAAAAAAAATCAATAATTTGATTATCTTAACTTTATAATTAAAAACCTTATTACAGAATACTTAATTTAAATCCGATTCAACCCTTTCCATAAGTAGCAATAGCTTAGCTTCTGAGGATTTTCAACTTCTTAGTCCTGCCTAAGAAGGAAAATATTGAGGGGCTTTGTGTTTGCATGAACTAGTTTTCCACCACCTAAGAAGGTAAAAAAAAAAAACAGAACCGCGCGCACACACTCCACATCATATGCAGTCATGCAGAAGTTCAAATGCCAAATTTGGCAGATAACATGCATGCATGAGAGAGATCAAAGGTTCATAACATTTATAGGGAATATAATAAGATCACTCACTCACGATATAGGCTATTGGAATCTCAATATATAAAATCTCTAATAAGGTACGGTAATAAATAACAATATCCTAACTAAAATTCATATATTTATTGGAAGCAAGTTATAAGAAAAATTGAAATTGACTATATGTTTTGACAAGTCATTAATGGAAGAAGCGGCATGCACAGGCTAGTACGTCATAGATCTCATAGACGAGTACAAAAAGTGAATGACACAACCTGGTAGGTGAAAATATGCCAAATAAAAAAAGAGCATAATAGAATAATTGATAAGCTTGCCAATTAAACCTTTAACTATGATATGGGACTTAAATAGCTTGAGCGAACATCGAAATCTATTGCTTGAATATTAATGGAAGATGAACTTAGTCTTTTTTAGGCCAACAGAAATCAACTAAAATAAATTTAAAATAAAAAATAAAAAATCAAAATCAAAGTTCATTTTGACAATTTGATAATCTAAAATATTTAATATAGGGAAAATGACACTTTTTCACCCTAAATTATATACTTATAGCACTTTTTTCCCTCAATTATTTATGTAAGCACATTAGCCCCCTCAATTATTTTAAAAGTGGTGGTTTTTCCCTTGATGTATTAAATTGACATTTCTACCCTTAAAGTAAACATTTTATTTATTTTACTTCTCCAACAAATTATTGTGTATATGTAGCGAACGGTTTGGTTCGAACTGAACCGGACACTATAGTAATCGAATTAAAAGTTTTCAGTTATGATTCAGATCTAAAACCCAATATTTGGATTTCTATTTATTAAATTTATGAATCAAAAAAACTGGACCCTGAACCGTGAACAGGTGGTTCCGGATCTGGTTCACGATTTTGAATCGTCTTTATTTTAAAATAGTCTAAATTCAACAAAAAATGTATTTTATTTTTTCAGTTCGGAACATGAACCGATCATTCTGGTTCGCGATTTTAATAAACTCTAAATATCGCGTTTTGATTCTAAATTGTAATTGGAATATTTTGGTTTGGTTGCTATAGTATCTCTTTGGTTTGAACCAAATTATAGTAATAATTATAAATGAAATATTTATTTTAAATATTTATTTTAAAGGTAAATATATTCATTTAACATTTCAGGGGAGAAAAAAGTCACTTAAATAATTCAGGGGGAAAAGTGCTATAAGTATATAACTTAGGGGGAAAAAGTGTCATTTTCCCTTTAATATAAAAATTTTAACAGTCACATATTTAAAAATAATTTCTAATATAAAATTTAATAATATCAAATCAAAAAATAAATAAAAATTCAAATAATGAAAAAAAATATTAACAAAAAACTTTCAAGAAGTAGGGGAAGGGGTCATTTGACCCCGTTGACCCCTCTTTCCCTAAACCATGTCAACATTAACTGACATAGACACATAGTAGACTCAATATAGCCTTTAAATAAACTCCAAAATTTGTCTTTTTGAGTCTAATAAAATTTTAGGGGTTTATAAAGTTTTACTTTTATGATAAATTTAATAAATACGTCCACAGCGCCTCGTCAGTCTTCAGATTTCCACAAGAAATTTGAACGAATTTGGAGTGTTTTACGGGCGATATTTAAGTATTCCAAAAAAACATATTAATACAAAACATTTTTGGACTAACGACGATCAGGAATAGAGTTATAGAGGGAAAAATCTAATTTGTGTTTTCGGATTAAAAAATGCATATTAAGTCCAAAATATTTTTAGCGTATTTATGATTGTAGTATTAGGCATCTGTCTATTGAAGTTGTCAAGTAATTTAATTTTGAAGTTTATTAAGACTCTAATAATATTATCTCAAATTATTTTCTCTCCCTAATTAGGATTTCTCTCTAAATATCTCCCTACTAGGGTTTCGACGTTTTTCGGCGGTATTTTCGATCAACGTAGACGCAGTCTGGCAGCATGGCAAGCATGAATCAGCTCCGGCATGATGATGGAGTTGAGGCAGTGACCGAATGCTAGGCGGATATGGTTCTGGAAGACGAGGAAGTCGGCGTGGAGGCGGGTGACGCTTCCGAACCGGCGCCGGGTGTAGGGGCGCTCGTCTACTCGGTAGTCGGTCGTTTCTTGACTAAGAAGCTAATTAAGATGGAGTATATGCGGCAGGTATTAGCCTCGGTATGGCAGCCGGTTATGGGAATGCAGGTAACAGAATTGCACTCTAAATTATTCCTCTTCGCCTTCTACCACGAGACGGACATGGTGCGAGTGTTGGAGGAGGGACCATGGTCCTTTGATAATCATACGTTAGTCTGCCGCAGAGTCTGTGATGGTTACCTTCCGGGGGGGGGGGTGTTAAATTGGATACAGTTGATATGTGGATACAGGTGTATGACCTGCCTATGGGTTATACATCTAATGTGGTCCTCGAGCAAGTT